GGGGGGGGGGGGTTGAATATCGTTGACAAGACATACTGAAAAGAGAAGAATGTTTACGAGGACGGAGAGTGACTGAAGGATGGTTGGAGAAACGAGAGAGTTTATAAACAATTTATACGACAAGATAAAGCGAGGCTATCTCGAGGGGAAGATGAGATTAGAACATAATAAAATGCTAGGAAGGAGCGGAGTGAGACCTAGATATCTATCCTCATCACATATAGAAGAAAAGAGGGGAAACAGCAGGGGGGGGGGAGGCAGAAAAAAGACCACGAGAAGACAGAGACACACAGATAGAGGCGGTCACAGAGAGTTTCATACCTGGCTGATTAGGAGGACGGCGCTAGAGCCTGTTACAGACATGAATCTGAATCTTTCTCACTGTAACAGTGTGCCTGTCTTCACTCGCTCAAACACACACAGACATTAAAGTGGAATAAATATGGTGGTGGGCGCAAGGGAAAGGCGTTATGTCAGAGAGCTGTTTAATGATGTTGGAGCACACAGAGCTGCCTGGGCTGTGATTGCTGTTCATTATTAATGTTTGGACATGAGGCTGTGGACCTCTGCTGCACACAGGCTACCTGTCAAACCCTCAAACAAACCAGCCAATGTGAGTGAACAGAAACGGTGTGTTTTTGCAGGTGAAACTGAGCTGCAATGCAGAGCGTAATGATGTGAGTGCATCTTTGGTCGTCTGGTCTAGAGGATGTCTTGTTTCTTCTGTTTTTTTTTTTTACTGCTAATGTCCCCGTCTGGAGGCTAAATTTAACTCTGTTCCTTGCTATTCTGCTTCTGTGATTATTCTTCACACTGCAACACTGATGGCCTCAGCTCCACAGGGAGGGGCCGACAAGGAAGTGTGTCATCCAGATAGTCGAGTCCCCGAGAGGGCCAAGTCATCCTACAAGCTAGGGACAGAGCAGCAGGGGACTTCTACATTCATTTGAAACATTATCCTACTGATACATTGTTCATTAGATTAACACTTTGCTTTCAATTTCGATTTGCATAGTATGAAGGAATGACTTTAACATTTGCTCTGCTCCAAATGTGTAGTAGGTTAACTAACTATCCATAGTAATGTATGTTAGGGCTGAACGGTATACCGTGTCATGGCGATAACCGCGATATTCACATCGCAGGGACGTGCAATTTAAAAAAAAATAATTCGATATTAAGTAGATAAATTAACTCAAACATGTCATGTTACAATTATTTTGCTGCTTGCTACAAAAGGAAAACTTGCTCTCATGTCAGCGGTACTTGAGTGGAGTGACATGCGGGCTCTGAGTCTGCATGCACAGCAAACAACTATTTCAGATGCCTTTGCCGGTGTTACACCATATGTGAAAGGTTCAAAACGGCATAAAGGAGCTGGTGTATAGCTGTTCTTAATTTTATTTTTATAATGTTGTTTCAAAGATGTCCACTACTTTGCTGCTATTTGCACAAAAAAAGGTTTTAATTGTGGAATAAAAAGTTAAATTACCTATTTGGTCACGTATGTTAATTCCCTAAATGTGATAATGAAGCTTCCTATAGTTTAATGTAATACGTTTAATCTCTTGGATCCCTTCTAGACACCACTCTTCTTCATTCACAGATGAACCCCCTTATTTGAGGATAAGCAACATGCATTATCATGACATGTTAGATCATGACTTAAGGTATGATGAGTCAACCAGTTAAGATCTAGACGTCCGTGACTAAAATCCTTCATCCGGTTAAATATAGTTAAAAAAAACGCAATATATATCGCAGGGGAAAAGAATATCGCAATGTCAGTTTTTTTCAATATCGAGCAGCCCTAACGTATGTCAAGTATATTTGGTCTCCACCAACTCCTGAACTAAGTATATGGTTTTAAAGTTGCCTAGTGCTGCACTATGTTCGCCAAGTAAAGTAGTTGCTAACTTTGTCTGTCTGCTGTTTGGAGTAGGAAGTGTTCAGTTGGTTTATCAGGGCTTTTTGGATGTTGTTTTATTAGATACTGCATGCTGTAGTGTTTTTTTCCATGTTGAGATCTGAGTGAACCCTTACAGTAGAATGAGGCGGAGGAGACCAAACATTGAGCTAAAACGCTGTAGAGTCAGTTGATAATTCTCTGTAGGTTCATCATAGAGTGACTTCCTTTTCATAACACATAGTAATTTAATCCATAGTGAACACGTTTTTTTTTAAGTTATTTGAAGTTGCTTATAAGTTTATATCAATAATGTTTAATCCCTACTTGTTAATGATTTAAACTAATACTGTTATGTATGCAAGTACCTCCAATTGTTATAGTCACATAGTGCTCAAAGGAAGGCTTACTGACCAAAACCAGCTGATACTGACAGGTTTTGGTTGCTGACTTTGGTTGGATGTCACTGGAAAACCTCAGAAAGGCTATATGCGTTTCATGGAAATTTATGTTTTAGTTTTTTAGTTTCAATACTCCGACTTCAAGATAAACTTCTTCCAAAAGTCACTCTCTAAAAGAATTTATGCTGACTTACTCCCGCTGGCAATGCTAACATTCTGATGTTCATGTTAATCTTCATAGTTGAAGATGGGAATGTGTGGTTTTTGGCACATTTGGTTAGATAATTATAGAAATGTTGACCTACTGATTATGGCACTGAATAAACAGTTACAATACCACCAAAAATACTATAATTCAACCTCTAGGAGTCATGATGTCTAGACAAACTTGAATGGCAATCCATTAAATAGTTGTTGATATTTCGGCCTGAACCAAGGGATGGACTGACACACAGATCTATTTTGTCATCCCTAGATCCACAACGCTAGCATCCCCAGAAGGAAAAACACAAAAAAAACAAATGCAAGCCTTAAAGATGAAATGTTGAAAATATATGATTTTAAATAAATGTATTAAAAAGCCCAACGCAGTATGTTATTTAAATACAAAAACAATAGGCAGGAAGTGCATGCTATTACTAAAATCAAATTTCCTCAGGCTTTTTGGGCAGGAAAGAGAATCTGCACAACAGCAGAATATAATATTAAGGAGGCTGAAACAAAAAACTGCAAGCTCCAGTGATTTGGAAATCCAGTAGCCAAATATCCAATTTCAGAAAGTGTTCGATTAACTGTGCGGTCGTACTTCAATGTCAGCAAGTTACACATGCACAGAGCCCTCTGACACACAACGCAATAAATCACTTAGTGTTTACATCAATATCAAAGTCAACATCAGGCATACTGTATGTCAAATTGATCAATCACAAGGAACTGTGAAGAGCGCAAACACGGGGATGATGGCAATCAAAAAGTAGAGCAGGGGAAGAAAATGAGAGAAACAAAGCATTGCTGAAGAAGGGGACGGCGAAGAAGGAAGACAAAGGAACACAGAAAGAGAGGAGCAGCAACAATGTAAAGGCTACAAAGAGATGAAGAAGGAGATGAGGAGAAGAAGAGTGTGTCGAGACGAGTCATTTGTACTTACTCAGTTAATGTGCTGCTGCTGCCGGTCCCTCCCTCTCTCTCTACACACTACATGCTGTAAAATGCAGACTGTCCTGTGTCCCGTCCTCTAACCAGGGACGACCTGCACTGGAGCCGGCTACACCTTCTTTTCTATTCTTACCCCACCTCGTCCCATCCAAAAACACACACACACACGCGCACAACAACGTGAAGAACCAACGCAGCTTTTTGCGTCACTTGATCGAACCACGTCTCCAAATTGACATCCACATTCTTGGTTATTAAAGTCCACTTCAACACGCAGAGGAAGAGGGGGAACGGAGAGGCTGCAGCTCAAAATCTCTCCTCCCGTCTCAAACCCCTCATGTCCTACATATGTAACACATATATATCCACACTTATGGCAGCATACTGCTTATTGTATCCTGCTGCAGAAATGAGTCATACTCCACTGCTCCTCCATAGACACCCCACCCCTATCACAGACAAGAAACTATCTGCCTTGTTTAGGAAATCTACTCGCTCTGCATGAAACACTTTATCAAATCACCTTTGGGTTTGGTGGTGTCGGTTGGGGGAGGGGTGGGGGGTGCCTGTTGTGCGTGCAGAGAGAGAAGGTATAATGATTGAAAAGAAACTAAAAAGGTGCTCGTGTGAACAATGAACCCACACATCACATCGCCTGAGGCCTTCCAAATGAGCATCATGAATATTTTAAGCTGTGCAATATTCTCAGGGAATCTGGAGATTGTCATTAAGCCCCCCCCCCGATCAGGATAACTAATGCCCCCGCCTGCAGAAGATGTCTGCTCAGCCCTTTTTCTTTCCTCTTTCTCACTAACGTCTCCCACTTAGACTGCTGCACATTCCCTCATGCTAATGGTGCTGTGCGTGAATTTTTTTTCATTACGTTTGCCACGAATCGTTCTGGTGAGAAAGACGGGTGAATTTCAGGGTGGAACTTTTAATTTAATGAAGTCTTCAAACTACTTCCTTTTCAGCTACTTTTTAGTTATAGCTGCAAGGAACAGTCAAATAAAGGATATTCATTGACATATGATGGATAATAAATCCATTGTTCTGGTAATTTATTATCATCAAAATGAATTAAGTATCCTTAAAATGGCTACAATTTTTATACTCTCAAACTGCAATTTTCCTTGCAGTTTTTTTGTCTCGATGTTTCACACGGGGTGCTGCATTTTCATGTTTACACTACCTGTCGTACTCTTTGGGACTTTTTTCAAGTAAGAAAGCCAAATATGTGCTTCTTCTAGCTCCAACATTTGCTGCTTCTTTGATAGAAAATGATATATTATTTTGGGTCGGTCACATAAATCCAAATCACTTTGGAAAGTTGTGATGGCTGCTTTATATTCACTACGTAGCACTTCATTGACTACGTATCGAACAGGAATAACCATGGCTTAAAAAAAAGAAGCTTAATCGATTAAAATAACAAAGAATTTAAGTTGGAACTGGCAGCATGTTATTTCCCCTTTGCTTGTATTTACTAGAGATGCTTTACTTTATTTTGTATATGAGTTGACATATCCAATAAGAGAACAACAGATGATAATAAGGACCAAGTCATTATCGTTATTGATAAATATGCTGGAAATAATTTGGTTAATGTAATGCAATGACGATAAAGGGTTTAGTTTAAAAAAAAGTTAGAGAACATTGAAAGACATCCATCGCAATTCTTCACTAACAAGTTGACATTGTTTAATTCATTATTTTGTAAAAGCAACAGTCCTGAACTCAAATACTCATGTATACGGTCAATGTTTTTGTTAACAATGCCATTTATGACATTATATTTCAATGTACTTTAATTATTTCAGCTCTAGATTAGTTAATCAGGACTAAACTGATACTTAAGACTGGGCTAAAGCCTACAGAATTAGTCTTGAAAGTCTTGAAGTTTCTATCATTGGTACATCAGTCTCCTTTTGAGGAAGGATATTTGAATCCTTCCTAACTTCCTATTATTATATAAGCTCAAGTACTGTACTTATGTACACATTTGAGACAAATATTGCACTATTTACTTTTTTTTTTTTTTGATATACTTTATTAATCTCCTTGGGGAAATTGTTTCTCTGCATTTGACCCATCCTAGTGTTAGGAGCAGCTGCCATTTTGAACGGCGCCCAGGGAGCAGTGCCTTGCTCAGGGACACCTTGGTAGCACTTGGTCTTGCCGGGACTTGAACTGGTAACCTTCCAGTTGCCATGCCAAGTCCCTATCGACTTTGCCACCATCACTTCACTACCTGTTTTGATTAACTTTAGTTATGTAAAGATTCATATTGTGCGGCTGTGGCTAATATAAGTGGATAGTGCTTGACTTTGAATCAGGGGGTAGCAAGTTCGAGTCCCACTGCAGTCAGCATGTCGTTGTGCAAGACACTTCACCCCAAATTGTTCCTGTGGGAATTGTCCACAGTACTGAATGTATGTAAGTCTCCTTGGATAAAAGCGTCTAACAAATGACATGTAATGTAATGTAATATTGGTAATACAAAATATAATCAACAAATAATTTAACATGTATTATATTAGGTTAAGATAATCTTTTTGGATCCCTTGGGGAAATGCACAGGCAGAAAATACTGTGTAGATAAAGAAAAAAAAAACTCCTTTATCAGTGGCAACAATTAAATGATGAACTGCAGATTGAGTACTTTCAATAGTATGTTTTCATACTATTGAAAGTACTCAATCTGCAACTTTGTTTTACTTTAACATTAATTACATTTTGAATGCAGGATTTTTACCTGTGAATCCATTATGTAGTATTACTATAGTTAAGTGAAATATTTGATTTCTTTGTTCACCACTGCTCTGGCATATAGCTGCATTTTTGGGATGATCTCTGAATGCACATGCCAACCTCTTGACTCCTCACAGCCTGAATTGTACAGGAAAATCTGAACTACTGTACAGCTCTGACACCCACATAAAATACATATTCATAAAGCATCACTTGGAGGTTAATTAAAACTGTCCTGATCAAATCAACTGATATACATGAGATGCTATGATTTACAGCAGCCCTGTAGTAACATCAAGAAATCTCAGAAATCAGTTAGAGTTTTGTATTAAATAACACCAAATCTCTGCGTGAGTGTGCCACATGTGCTTGACCTCAAAACATTAATTAAAAAGACTTGGCTGTGATGGGATTTTGATGTAACTCACAGCCGGAGTGAGATGCTTTCAAGTATTTTGCTGCTCTCTACTGGGCAAAACAACAACTGAAGCTGAGGAGGTTGCTCTGGATGAAGATGCAGAACAGAAACATTTATGTATTTGGTTCAAGGAAGGTAAATGCAGAGCTACGGATCTCTTTTTGTATCTATCGAGAGTCCAAAAAAAGGAACTCGATTCCCCTTTGATAGCTTAAACCTTGGAAATACTGGCGTGACAGCAATACCAATAAAACAATGCAAAGACACCTGTTCAGTGGAAAAAACAACATGGCCTACATTTTCCATAGAAGCTGCCACTCTTCCCTCCCACTGACCATCAGTGTGATAATCGGCCTGTGACAGTGATGTACCCGGGAATGATGTTGTCTAAAATGCATGCATGAACAAGGAAAAAGGAAGCAAACAAATGGCTCGGGGAGTTTTTTTTTTTTTTACCTGTCGTTTGATGAAGCTGGATGTTGTGTCAGAAGACGTGCTGCCATCTGAGCGTTTGAAGCGGCTCTTGCGTTTAGGCAACTTCCTGGGCAGCTGTGATGAAAGAGAGACACACACAGGTGAAGGGATACAGATGCATAGACAGATAGCATCAAACCTTTCAGCTTGCACTATGCTGATTCGTGAAGCTTTTTCGTGTTACATAAAGGTCTAAATTAAGAGAAAACTGGTGCAAAAGAACTGCTTTGTACCACAGCAGTGTCTATAATAGGCTGTAGCTTTGTCAATATCACATATTTTTCAGGGCTGAATTATCCAGCTGCACATACTGTTCTGTCTCATATTTTCCCCAGGCCTCTTGTAACACATAATAAGAAAGCGTGGATGTTGCAGTGAGCATGCTGACAGCAGGCCCTGTAGATTCAGGCTACAGGTGAGTCAGAAACATACATGGTCTGCCTGGTCCTTTAGCTAATACATTCAAGCAAATATTACTGATATGTATTTGTTTTCTTTCTGTATTCTAAGAGAATGCAAAATAAAAATCCATTAAGATCAGACTCAAGCGGGAACATTTAGGGAGATCGTATCCTTTGAGTGTGTACCATATGTGAGCCGTCTTAATGATCGCACCCACTGGATTTTCACAGATCAAGCATCAATCTGCAGATTTAGTAAAGGCGGAGGAGGTGACATTTTAAAATAAATATATAAAAAAGTAGCTCGCTGCCTAATCGCGACGCCTCAATTTCAACAACAAGCAGCAACACATTAGAGCTAACCATTTTTTTTCTCACTTAACTCGTTAGATGCTTCAATACAGGATTATAAAAAGTGTGGTTATTTACCTGAAAATAGTGCGATTGAGAGCCTGTTTCCACAGCAGACAGAGGGTCTACGGGCGATTTGGACATTTTGACTTGCACCATCTATTGAGAGCGCAGGGGGGCGGGATGCACACAGACATGGGTTAACGTTACTGGAGGAAACAAGGGGCACAAAATACATAGAAAATGCAGTAAAGAGAGCGGGGGAAGCGGCATGTAGGAGCGGAAAATTGGGCAGGAAAAAAGGCGATTAATATCCGAGTAAAGCTGATAGAAAAAGCTAACAAAAATGGGTGTTATTATAGGCTACATCGGGGGTAAAAATGTTAAGCGAGCAGCAAAAATGCCGGAGCTAAAATAAACCGTTACTGGAGCGTCATCGAGGCGAGCAACCGTTCAGGTCCGTACTAAGTGTGAGGCTCTGCCGGGGGTGTCAAGGATGGCTTTCAGGGCACAAATAACAATAAAAAAGAGCATACAGGTGTACAATTATAATTTTTGTTTTGTTTTTAGAGGTGTGTTAGTCAATATTATCACTATGGTCTATCTCGTTTGTGTGTAATATGGAAGAGTCAATAAACAACAGTAGAATGTGAAATCTTCAGAGAATGGATCTCTGAATTCATAATATAGGGGAGGTGTTTTTGATAGCAGATACACAGATTAAAAAAATCTAATATTTAATTTTTGTTGTTGTAACCAGTAGATTAAATATCCTGGTAACTAATTTACTTGTATCAAAGTAAGCGTGTAATATTCAGGGTTACTCAAGTAGGCTACTGTATAACTACAATTTTGATATAGGCTACTTTACTTGAGTATTTTCATGATGCTACTTCAGTGGAGAAAGTAGTATTTGGATCTGTTACTTAAAGTAATAGTAGTATTTTTTTGTATTAGCACAATGTAGAAATACAGTGTGCAAGTCCTGCCTGCACCCAAGATTTTAATTGAGTAACAATACTAAAGCAAATGCAGAATTATTAGAGATGGAGGAAGTATACAGATCTTGTACTTAAGTAACAGTAGCAGTACTACTGTTATAAGTAAAAGTCCTGCATTCAAAATGTGACCCAAGTAAAAGTACAGGAGTATTAGCATCAAAATATTCTTAAAGTACCAAAGGTAAAAGTATGTTTATTATGCAAATTGGTGCATTCAGAATAATATATATTACATAACATTTTACACAAGTACAGTACTTGAGTAAATCTACTTAGTTACTTTACGACACTGAGAAGTATGCCTATTTCAGAGAATATGTATACTTTTATATTATATTACTTGATTCTTACAAATGCTGTATTATTGTGTACATCAACTTGGCTATTTAGGAGAAATGTAGAGAAATGGAAGGAGCTTTGAACTAATGGTGATGATGTTTAGTCTTTAACAGGCAGTGGTGTAATGGCACTAATTACATTTACTCAAGTACAAATGTTTAGGTATTTGTACTTTACCTAAACATTTTTACATAATGCTGCTTCATACCTTTACTCCACTACATTTTGTAGGCAATTGTTGTACTTGTAGTGTAGTAGTGATACTCCACTACTTTATTTTACATATTTATTTTTCTGGTTCCTCAGATGTAGGTTATTAATACAAAATCTTAATCGACATTGTAATATATTATTATAGGTTAAGCTACCCAGTCGTGTATAAAGCAATTAAAATAGACCCCCAATTTAACCAGCGAAGTGATGAGCAAATTAATAATTTCAATAAATAATCTGAGTACTTCTTCAACATCTAGCAGGTGCAACTAAAGTGACAGCAGAGTGAGGGAGCTGTCAATCAAGCTGCACACTGCTTCACTGTCAGTCAACATACAAACACACCTGTAAGAGATTTTTAGAAACTTGTTTATCCTGCATTGAGTCTTATTTTTGATTACAGAAGGACAGCAACAAAATAGCTTAAATAATATGATGGCAATTTTGGCCATAACAACATTCACCAGAAACAGCGTGGAAATGAAGCTACATGGACGTGAGTAACAATTGAGCTAACACGTTAGTATAACAACCTTTAAGGCTATAATATGACCATTAACTTGTTGCCTTTAGCGACCAAACTGTACTGATTACTCTTGAGCCCATTATAACAGCAGACTGTAAATTAGGCTGTATATCAAGTGGAAAAAACTGTGTTATTTATTTGTCTGTTAGCTAGGAAACACGACCCCAAATGATACCGTGTAAGCTAAGTAACGGCTCTTTAAACTACATATCTGGTTTTAATTTCGAAACCTATAAAATAAACATCAACTAGAATTGTTGTTGCTTTTTGTTGTAGTTTTGACAATGCTGGCTTTCCGTATCTGTTAGCTAGGCTGAACACAGTCTCCACTTCAAAAGTATTTAAGTTCCAGCTTAAATCTTAAATATTTAAATATTATTTTAGTTTTTTCTGAAATCATTACTTTTACTCCCAATGCTTAAAGTAGGCTACATTCCTAAGTAAAGAATCTGAATATTTCGTCCACCACTTATCGTCACTGAGTTTACCTTCATATCCATTTGCCAGGTTGTTTTTGACACTTTGCTGCCAAAGCATGTACAACATTTGTCTTTCTCTTTCAAGCATACCTGTTGCTGATGTTCCTTCTGCTGGCAGATTTATGAGTAGTTTGCCTGATCTTGCCTGTCCAGTTGGACAAAGCATTTAACTACACCTATGTTATTTAGACTCAGGCAGTATTACTCTACAAGGCACGGCCTATACAACTGGTATAGAACATAGTTAAGGTCATCTAGCTACCGCATGTGAAACCAGCAGATTGTGAGTTTATACATGTAGTGAACTAACTAGAGTCTCAGCATTACTGCCATGCTGGTACTTCTCTCTGTTATATAGGAGAACCTCTTACAACCCACATCAAAACATCTGAACTATCCCTTTAGTGGCAGAAAGGTTCTCTCATGTAATCAGACCGAATTGCCTCTCTGTTTTGTTGATTCAGTCTTGCAACATGTTAGCTGATTTCTTCTTTTTCTGAATTGCTTAACAAATTGAAGATGTGGGGAGTGATTTAGACTAAAGGTTACCTTTGTGCCATCTTCTAGAATTGCCCCACCTGTTGCACCTGTTTTTCAGACCCGTCATTGGTCCAGCCCAGAGCCGTCAGTGGAGGCTGTCTCACCATGCCGTGTCCCTCTCAACTTCACACATTTGTGATGTTCCTCAACCCAATAGTTAAGTTAACTGATTACAATAATATCTATTTTTGCAAGTTTTGCTTTCGAGTTTATTTGTGTTAGTTTAAAACATTAAGTGCTTGAGAGGGACTGTCACCTTTTAGTAAATATAGCTTTTTTATGATTTTATATCCTTATCTGTTTATCTATAACCAGGTATTCTCTTAAATTCCACATTATTATTATTTTTTGTTTATTTCTTTTACCAAAAGTTGTACGTTGTACAGGGGGCAGGGCTTATGTGGGTTTCAGATTTGTATCATTTACATTTTTTAATGTTGTAAATATTTGAATCAGGAAAGCACTTCCAGCTAAACAAGAAAGTGCTACATAAATAAAACAAATAATAATATATTTTATTTATAGGTATGTATTAACTGAGTTATATGTATTTTACTAATATAATATAATAATAATAGTAATAATATATCATATGTATTATTATTATTATTATTATTATTATTATTATTATTATTATATACATGTATTTGTGACTTCTGGCTGTCATGTTGGAGCTCTCAGCTGTTGGTCGACTCGCTGCAGACACGGCTTCTCCTCTAGAGGGAGTGCCGAGTCACTGAAAGGGACTGAGGAGTGAGAGCAGCCTGGGCTGAGGAGAGCAGCGTCAAACCAGCCGGAGTTAAACAGCACCACAACGGGACTGACTGCGATTTCAATTAAAAATAAAAGCTTACAAATTAGTGCTGATTTTCGATGACCAGAACAACATGCATTGCACACTAAATGGGTTTATCCAGAGGGTTAATAACATACTGAGAGGAAGTCCTGCGTTCACAAGAATTAGTTAATACATTAATATTTCTTAAAAGGATGAGGATTATTTTGACTATCAGAATCAGAAACGGGTTTACCAGGTAGGTTCACACGTAGGAATTTGACTAGGTCACCAATCATTCAATTTAGCTGGAAACCAATTATGTATTTTGTATAGTATGAAGACAAAAAACAGAAGGTTCAATGGACTTAACTTATATATGGACTTATAATTTTTCCTGAGGAAATGTGTCATCCTTGAAACCATGTCTTCACGGTTTTTGGATTTAGGAGGTAGCCTACTTTGTAAAAAAGTGTGCTCGTTTTACTAAACAGGATGTTTTAAAAGTAATTTCACTTACCTAGCTTTTTCTGTAAAGTTAATGTTTTATTACGTTGTGGTTTTTTCCTTTTTTCAAACGTTATTTTCTTTTATTCAGAACAGTTATGTTATGTTAATGTTGATGTTACACATGGAGCTGCTGTGATGCAAATCAAATTTCAGACTTGATCTGACCAATAAAGTATTATCGTATTGTATTATCGTATATGATCTGCCATCATCCTAAAGAGAGAGGAGTCATGCCTGTCATGTTATCCTTTTTTCATATGATTATTACAAAATATTCAGTTTTACCTTAATGTCACATGTTTTAAGTATTGATATCCACTACAAATAGATTTGAAATAATACTTTGAGCTAATTGGACAGCCTATATTCATTCAGCAATTTTATTTTATAAATGTATCTTCATTTTATTTTTCTTATTTGAAAGTTTATGCTTCTTTATATATATTTGCAAAATGTATGGATAATTGATGAGGCTGAATGGTGTAAAAAATACCACGATCTTTTTTTAATTCATCATTATTTTTGAAATGCACTCACTTTTTTTGCCCTTACTTGTTTTTATTATATAACATTTATGTTAATGATATGCTAAATGCTAATATGCTAATGCGAATACTCTACACAGCCTATAAAGGTCCTAAAGTGTCCTGCTACCAATTTATGGTAGGCTACTTCCGCCACCACTGTAAGTGCTTTAATTTGAAAAACCATAACCGGAAGTGTGATGTTTGTATTCCCCCCGTCTTGACAGTGGTGCTTGGAGCCGAGAGGGTCAGGGGGAGGAGAGGAAAGGGAGTGGAGCGAGAAGACGACAGGAGGAGATCCACACAGGGTGACCAATTTCACCGGACCATCCTTGGAAAGCTATCCGCTACAAATGGTCCTCCACCCGGCTGTCTGCTCCCATCCACACCGAGACGGATTGTCTGCTGCGGTCCTGTCGGGGAACAGAAACAGAAGATGATCACGGTGAGTCCGTCTTTCTCTCTGTAACTGCTGCACACTGCAGGCAGACATATATTATATATGTTGTCCTGTCCCACACACGTCTCAAACGCTGTTGCACCGCTGCCACTTCTATGTCAAAACACCATGTCGGCCGGAGTGAATGACATAGCTGGCAACAGTTGCTGCAAGGCCCTCGGCTTCACACTGGTGCTGGTGCTGCTAGTGGCAGAGGATACACGGTCAGTACATGTTTTTGCACTGGCGGCCAATAACAATATCTGTGTGTGGAGGGAAAAGGGATGAGCTGCATCATTATGTTTCTTATTACAGCTGACAGTCCTGAGGGGCGTTAATAATAGGCTGCATGCAGAGGCTCGCATCTGATCTGATCATAATGATTCAGCTGCAGAATATTTTTCACAACACAACTTTAAACTTAAACACCTCCATGTATAACCTACCAATACGAACACACATGGTTTGTAAATGAGGGGCTTTTAGAGTATTATTCACCGCTATATTCTTCCATCAACAGACTGATGCTGAGGAATGTGCGGCATCAATAACGTGTTTATATCAGTTTATTTACCCAACGCTATAACGTTTGTCAATACACTTATCTAGGGAGATATTGCGTTTCGCTGAAGGACATTTTCCACAAACACAAATCGCTGCAGAGGCGTGAATGTGTCTTAACGTGGACTACCGGACAGAACTGAATGGTTTTATGATCCCCGCTATGGTTGTCACATAGGCCACGGTGTTATGTAACACGAAGCCTACGCTGTTTGAATGCGGGCCCTCTCACACACGGCCTGCCTGTGCATGGCATTTCTACACCGGATCGCAAACATAGCCTATAATCCGCACATGATCCAAATGTATTAAACTAGTCAAATTAACGCGTTGCAAACCTTTTGATTTCCACAAATTGGTGAATCTATTAGAGAGCATCTGTGTCATCTGGGTGACAACTGAGCCATACAGAGAGAGAGAGAGAGAGAGAGAGAGAGAGAGAGAGAGAGAGATGCATGCAGACTGTCTTTCTGAAACAAGCCCACAATGAATGACTTTATGCTCGCGGTTTGTGACTGTAACGCCAGTGTAGCGGCTGTCTGGTTAAAAATGTCCCCTAGGAATAGTCAGTCACCCCCGCCTTCCCTTCTCCGCTTCCCCTCCCCTATACTCTCCTAGCGTTTGTGGGGGGAAACTGAAGAGAACAGCCAGGCACCGTGCAAACACACACACACCGTGCATACACACACACACACCGTGCATACACACACACAAACACACGCACACACCAAGCGGCTGGCAACACCGCGACGTTTGCAAATGGGCACAGGCTGGTCGACCTTGTGCAGGGGAGTGAGGGACGCAGCCGTGGAGGGGTGGAGGTGGGAGGAGAGGAGAGAAGAGGGGAGGTGGTGTGTGTGTGTGTGTGTGTGTGAGAGAGAGTCTTGAATCTTGTCGATCCGCTGCCAGAGAGGAGGGAAGCAGCGTGGACGGATACGTGCCAGAGAAGGCAAGCTATAGCGAGGAAATGCTATTTTTGCTTCAACAACACAGCATGCCTCTCCGGTGAAAATGCCGGTCTGGGAGGCGGCGGCTGTGTTGCGTTTGAGTGTCTCTCTGCACAGTGTGGAGCTCAGAGTGTCAGCAGGCCTGGTAAGATCAGCTGGTAGCAGTTGCTGAGGCATATGTGGACGTTTAATTAAACCAGGGCGAAAAAGAGAGCAATACTGTACTTTTATATTGTCTATTATAAAGTGCTGTAGGCAAGTTATAGTAACATTGGAGATACATATACTAGAGGTTCATTACATACTGTATACATGTAACCAGGTCAGCATTAAGCTACAATTCAATTTCAAAGAAAAGCCCACTTTCAGCCATATGTTCTGTCAGGACGATTTTTTCACAGAGAAACAATACCTCAGAGCAGTTTAGCTTACTGTAATAATTGTAGGTATTACTGAACGGTCCTTCTGCTCATAGGCCCAAGGGCCCAAAATATCATGGGCCCCCTTGGACTTCACCCACAGTATAACACTTTTACAGACAAGTACCACCAAAAAGAAAGTCACGAGAAAGAAACACAAGAAGGATAAACATAGAGTACAGCTGCAAAATACTACAAAGACACACACCATATGCACGCCGGCCATCAGCTGCCCTTGACTACTGGCTGTTCTGTGATTCTCCAGAACTCACAGATGGCCATTTTGCCCCTGCTACCAAGTGGCACACAACAACAACAACAACAACAAAAGGCTAAACAACTATACAGATTGGGTTTTTATTGCTCCTATGTAGAAGCAGCGGCGGGGCCTTGTGCCTCTCTGTCCCCGGGGGCACATTATCTCATAATCTGCCCAGGTGCATTCACACCGCAGTACTTTCCCCACAAAGGTTCATGAGAATTTAGTTCATCAGAACTCTTTAGTTCTGATGAACTAAGTACAGATCGCGTTCACATCGGAATAAATCCCTGGGGGTGGATTAGGCAAATGAAGCCGCTGACGTCACTTCTTCTTCTTCTGCTTTGGGTTTACTGGCAGGCCGCAAACAACTTCACGGTGTATACTGCCGCCCAAAATCCCCGGCCGGAAGTCCCCGGTTGTTGGGGACTGGCTAAACGCCAGAACGCCGACCCTCCTCATCTCCACCGCTCCCATGTTTTATTTTGTGTTGCCATAAGTTAGTCTCTCTGCGTTTCTGCGCTGGGCTAATACTAATAAAATGGTGGCTTCACAACACTTTTTTTGAGTTTTACGGGTCGTGGTTTGCAATCCGCCCAGCCAATCAGAAATATAGCTCTTTTCTCACAAGATAGCCGAATGAGAGTCCCTGAAAAGTGGGTAAAAAGGTTCTCATGAACTAATTTTAGTTCCGGCTCTTTTTGGTGTGAACGCGACATTTCGGAACTATATCGGAACTAAAGTGGGAAAAGTACTCCGGTGTGAACGCGGTTCATGTCATTACAGTTTCCCAACCTGATACCATTAGCCGCGTTCACACTGGAGTACTTTTCCCACTTTAGTTCCGATATAGTTCCGAGCTGGAACAAAAATTAGTTCATGAGAACCTTTTTACCCCCTTTTCCGTCATGCTCTCGAGCAGGGACTCTCATGCGGCTCTCTTGTGAGAAAAGAGCTTATTTCTGTTGGCTGGGGATTGCAAACCGCGCCCCGTAAAACTAAAAAAAAAGTGTTGTGAAGCCACCATTTTATTAGCATTATTAGCATTAGCATTAGTCCAGCGCAGAAACGCAGAGAGACTAATTTATGGCAACAAAAAATAAAACATGGGAGCGGTGGACGGCTGGCGATTTACTCGGAAGGCTCCCAGCAGCTTCTACTGAAGCCAGTCCCCAACAACCGGGGACTTCCGGCCGGGGATTTTGGGCGGCAGTATACGCCGTGAAGTTGTTTGCGGCCTGCCAGTAAACCCAAAGCAGAAGAAGAAGAAGTGACGTCAGCGGCTTCATTTGCCTAATCCACCCCCAGGGATTTATTCCGGTGTGAACGCGATCTGTACTTAGTTCATCAGAACTAAAGAGTTCTGATGAACTAAGTTCTCATGAACCTTTATGGGAAAAGTACTGCGGTGTGAATGCGCCTACTGCTCTCATTTCCCCAACTTTGCACTCTGTATAACTCGCTGTGGTATCATTCTCTTGTGAGGTAACATGAAACCAGGCGTTGGTGTGGCTCTAAAAACAAAGTCTGTTGCCTACTATGACTGAATATATGTAACTAATGATAGTAACACCAAATAACTATTAAATTAAGATTAGTCTCATCTGGTCAATGCCCAGTCGGCTTGTTCAAGGCAGTATCAGCTTAGTCCATACTCTACTCTTACAAAATGAATGTCATACATTTAAAGTTACAACTCTAGGCAAGAGATAACCAGCAAGTATATCCAACTACATACATTGATAACACGCTTTTTTACAAAAACTGAAGATGAACATTGTATATATAAACCATCTACACACTATCTGTGTCATATCCAAATGACAGTGATGACCAGTGTCTTAATATTTACATTTCATTCAGCAACAGCATGGATACAATTACACGTATCTCGTATGTGATGCATTTAAACTAAAAAGGAAGTAACTTTATGTTCTAATAATTTCTAAACAACTTTTGTTTTAACGCTACAGGGCGCACAGATCCTGTCATGCTGTGTTTCCTGATACTGTCTGGATATTTGTCTTGACAGTGTCCTGTTGTTCGGTGGCATTTATCTGTATTTATTACTTGCCTTTTATAATTGATTGTTATTGTAAACAGAGCTTGAAATAGTCACTCTTCATCTTCAGCCCAACTGACTCTAAGTAATGTGTGTTTTGCGTGTATACCAGAGGGTTTGTTTTTGTACTGGGGTCAAATCAAGCAAGTTCTGGTTCGACTTAAAAAACAACAATATTTTAGCTATTTTGGGTCCTTTCCTCCCCGTAGTGTCGGCAGTAGGTTGTCTTTCTCCCATGAATCTGTCTATTTTTTACGAGACGATATCTCAAGTGCGTCCGGTTATGCAGGAAATGGGATTCATGTGAATTTAGCTAACACTCATGTCTTTTATATCCTGTCACATCTGGTTAAAAGTGACCTTAAATGCTACAACTAAAGATTATTTTCATTATTGATTAATTTGCAAATTATTTTCTTGATTAATCAATTAACTGTATTGCCTACAAACTAGTATTAGCCTCCACAGGGTTAGGGTTCGATTTTAATCATCTGCTGATCTACTCACGGCTTATGTTGAGCCACAACACCATGACATATTGTTTTATGCATTGGCTTTTATACAATCTTCTGTATGTGTTTTGATTTTTCCTGTAGTCCCAGCAGGAGATAGGACTGGCAGCAGAGTCTGGACTTCTCATTAACCTCGGTCTCTGATCACCGGCCCTGGCACAAACATCTGGAGCTTCTTAAAGCGCCTGGTTGACCTCATCCAGTCAGACCCACCCTGCGGCCCTGCAGCGCGGCCTCTACAAACCCCTCGTCACTACTTCTAAATATTGTCCACGGGGATAAATGAGTGAACCGGCTGCAAGGGAGAGGGCTGGGACATGTACCAGAACCCCAACAGGTAAATGAACTACTCCAACACATGGATAGAGGAGGAAATGGTCCTCCCACATGGTAATCAGTTTGGGTAGGAGTGCTTCCTGGACTGAATATGAGTTTGTTTGAGGGGCTCTTTGGTGAAGGGTACATGTGTATGCAAAATCACATAAAAGACTCAAAGGCAGTCTCCATTCAAAAAGAGAGTGTCTTGGAGTTTTCTTGTGATTGTAATGGTATTCATTTATTTGATAAAAGGTCCCAGTTAGCTAGAGGATTGCAGAAGCTATTCTTCCTGTGTTTCACAAAACAGACAATGCAACCATTACAACTTGAATCATAATCATCACCATACAGAATAAACAGGACACAACTGAAACGGACACAACAAGCTCTTGACATTTCAATAATCCGAACATTTGAAGTAGTCCATTACACTCCAGTGTACCCAACTCATGGCAAATCATACAAGTACATGATAAATAGCCTGTACTAACCTAATTCTCCTATTTGTCAGATTCACACAGACCCCTTCACTTTCACATAACCAATCAACATTATTCAACTCTGTTTTGATCAAACTACAATTTTGAATGCATTTGACTGTTTTTACTGAAAATCTAAAGTCTTTGTAATCAAGGAATTTCCGATAAATACAAGCAATAAGTAATCTGTAGTTAACCAGGAACCGGTCTAGACAATTATGTATTGCAACAACATTTGTTCTGTCTTCGCCACTGAGATCTGTCTTTGACCTCGTACTTGTTGCCCCTCTCACACAGAATGTCCTGGTTCAGTGGTTTCCTAGTCGCCAGAGTGGACGACCGCAAGACTGCGTGGGGGGAGCGCAATGGCAAGAAGTCAAAACGGAAGGGAGGCTCATCTCTCTGCAACCCACGTTACATGAGCTGTCTGCGGGATCCAGATGCTATGGAGCCCCCCTCTGGAGCCCCCCTCCATCAGCACCACCGCGGAGGGATGGCGGGGGCCGTGGGAGGCGGGGGCAACTTCGGCGTCCGTTGCGGATGGCAGGAGGACCACTACGGCAAAAGGGTAGTGGCTTCCGGGGAAGGGGTGGGGCTGAAATCGGTCGACTTGGGCTTTGACGACGGCGATTTGAAGGGGAGGAAAGGGGGATGTAACGGAGGCAGCGGGGACATGGGCGACGACGGCGCAGCAGGGGTGGTGACGGCCGCGGACTGCTGGCTCAGGGTGGTGCAGGTGTTCCAGTCGAAGAAATTCCAGTCCCGCAAACTGGAGCGCCTCTACCAGCGGTACTTCTTCAGGCTGAACCAGAGCTCCTTGACAATGCTCATGGGGGTGCTTGTGATCGTGTGCGGCATTATGCTGACCTTCCACTGTGTCCACGCCGCCCCTCACGTGGCCTACTCCTCAGCACTATCGGTGGCCATGGCGCTCTTCATGGCTTTAATGGTGGTGTGCAACCGCAACGGCTTCCACCAGGATTACATGTGGATGGTCAGTTACCTGGTGATCGGAGTCTTACTGTCCGTACAGGTGTTCGGGGTGCTCATGGTGGCCCCCAGGAGCGCCTCGGAGGGCATCTGGTGGTCCGTGTTCTTCATCTACATCATCTACACTCTGCTGCCTGTGAGGATGAGAGCGGCGGTGGTCAGTGGAGCAGTGCTGTCCATCATTCATGTGGTCACCACCTGGCAGATCAATCAGGAAGACCAGTTCCTCTGGAAACAGGTAAGACTGTTTGACCTCATCTGACAATGGCTGGTTTTGAATGTACAGTCAACAGGATCGAGTCTTTTGACAGTTATAGTTCACTTTCTGCCCTGTATCTCTCAGACAGTATGCTGGCATGTTGTCGGAGAGTTCTTCTGATAAATGAGGTTCAGTTTTCTCTGATTACATTACATTACATTACATGTTACTTGTTAGACGCTTTTATCCAAAGCGACTTACATACTCAATACTGTGGGCAATCCCCTCAGGAACTATTTGGGGTGAAGTGTCTTGCCCAGGGACACAACGACATGCTGACTGCAGTGGGGTTTGAACCTGTGCTCCCCTGATCCGAACACCAACGCACTAGTCCACTGCGCCACAGCCTCCCTCTGATCAAGTTATATGTTTCACATGAAGTCGTTGACCCTTTGGTTGGCCCACCTGCACACAGGGATGTGTAGCTTAGCAATGTTTGAATCCAGATAACTTCATTTTGGAGTGATGAGGTCTAAAGGCACAATGTCACAGTTGAAGCTTTGTGATCGCCTTAGCGCTGTTTATGGATGAATTGCTTTATGAATTTTTTTATCTGGCAGTTAACATTATTTAAAAAATGTGGCTAATATCAGAATGATGTGTGATCTGGTCACAGCACTAGACTGACCCGCATTTGCAAAACAATCTACATAAACACACATTGCCGTTAAGCTTTCATTCATACGTCGATGTGCAATGGAAGCCAAATGTTAACAGCCATGAAAGCAGTCATGTTTTCCTCAGATTAAGATGGGGGCAGTGGAGACGTGTTAACTGCCTGCGTCAGATGTAAAGATGTGTTGCTCTGTCAGACAAAACATTTGGCATTTGAGGACTGAGAAGTTTAACTATGATGAGATAAGGGGGGCATGCCTAAAACATATTTTCGTCAACATTTGGAAACATAAGAACATTGAGGTTGAAATAGTTCCTAAGTAATTAAAAACATCACATTTAAATGATGGATATAGGGATGAATTATGACTGTGGACTGACTGAACTGGACACATTGTTACGTCGCTGTATCTCTGGGGGCATTTAAAATGTCACAATGTTTATGACGGGTGTTTTACCGTGTGAACTGACAACTCAGCGACTGCAGTGTTTATATTGCTCTACTGTGTTCTGTCACCAAGTAGTATCTGCATATTTAAATGTATTCTGGAGCTTATGGGTCTTTCTATATAGTTTGTTGTTTGTGCGTCATGCCAAGGACCTCGGAGCTCGCTGAAGGTCAGCAGGCCGAAACGTCTGTACGCGTGTGTGAGTGTGTGCTCTTCTGTGACAGTGGGAGAATACCTTGATATAAAGCAGTATCACTCAGGTCTCTGTGCTCTCTCACAAGGGACGCTTTGTACTTTCCTCCAAGGGTGGGGTGACGAGGGTGAGGCCGACGGTTGTGGGGAGGCGCTGTACGACTCCTCCCTTTCTGTAGCTGATCACCACTGTCGACTCCTTGGGGAAAAGTTAGGGAAAACATAATGGGAAGACCATCTCATGGAAACAATAGGGGGATATAGGACTTAATTATGTATCGGTAATAGTCACTGTAATGCCATTTCTGTAAGGTATGTGTTCAGTAACATATCCTCTCAGCTGGACAACAACAACCCAGCCAATGCAATCTCTGCTGCTAGGGGATTCTCAATCAAATGAGAACAAAAGACGGACTTTAATGAAGTCGTAAAGTGTGCTCATGGGAGTTTTTGTCCACCATTGCAGAAGAAAATACGTGCCACGACTCACGCTGAAACCATGTTCACTGTTAAGATAATGCATCATATGTTTTATATAGTAAGTTCATAATGCGTTTTGCAGCCTACGGATGCTCCATAGTATACACCAAGATGTCACATTGTTGTGAACAGCAGCAGCGGAGCATAACAGCCTCAATCTTTAAATTCTTACCTTTCACAATAAAAGCCATAAACGTATACGCTGCTTACCAAAAGTTACTTCAATTGATTTGAAGAATTTAACTTAAACTAAACTCAACCATGTTGTAGGGCTGTGCGATTATGGCAAAAATCATAATCACAATTATTTTGGTCAATAATTGATATCACCATTATTAAAAACAATTATCCATTTACTTTGAAAACATCCATTTATTGAAATAATATATATATAATAATTTGAACAGTATGTTTTTAACAGTTGATTACTCTGATAATTCAACGGAAAAACCAATAAAAAAATAAAGAAATAAAATAATTGTTTTATTTCGATTACGTTGTTTTCGTAATCGTAATTGAGATTAAAATACGATTAATTCCAGAGCCCTACCATGTTGTTCTGAGGAAAAAGCTGCAAGAAATGATCACTCATTTTACGCTAAATTCTAACTTAACACTGGATGAGTTGACTACCCATACAGCGTATCTTAAGTCATGTTATGCTGTTTGAAAGAAATGAATGCTTATACTCTTACTGAGTATAATCATTAAATGATTTGCTCATACCGGTTTAGGGCTTTTTATTTGTCAGTTTATTGCAGAAATGTTTCATATAATACCCTTTTAAAGACAGATCAATTTCTTGCAAACGTTTATTATAAAAATAATGACATAAGTACAGTTCTAGGTTAGCGGTTGGTGGGAACTCGGTGTGTGCTTTGTAACATCATGCATGATATACCATAGTACAATCCATCACAGGCTGCAACACTGTTTGCCGTCATTAAGTGAATGAATGTCATGAGATAGCTGCGGCCTTGCAATGCTGGTTATTCCTAAGGTCGCCTGTGTACATATGTGACACAGTAAAACAGTATCATCAATCACTGCTTCACGCTTGTGTGCAAGGATTTCCTCTTTCTCCAATAACTCATTAACCTCACTGGGTTTCTGTTGGTGTTGATGGCTACAGATAATGATGAAGTTGTGTGTGAAGAATGATGGGAATGCAGACCCTCTTGATGTTCTGACTTTTCGTTTCTGCTCGCTCTGCAGATTGAAACAGGGAATTGAGAAGGAGTATGTGGAAGTGTGTTGAGCTGTAACTTTGACATGTACACTGACTACATCTTGGATGTCTGATTTCCCTCCGTCATGACTGAAAGTGTGTTGATTTCTTCAAATGTAATTATGTTAAAATACTAAATATATTAAAGTCAAGTGTTGGCATTCAAATTTTACATTTGTTTTACACCAACGTTTATTCCTTCTCTATTAACCCAGTATTTCTGTACAGTAGCAGATAAAGACTAAGCTGCACTAATATTATTAGTATTAAACATTTTCTAGAATAAGATTCCAGCGGTGGGATGCATTGATATGTTCTCTGACATGTTTTAAAGATAGTTTTATCTGAAAAAAGTCAGAAAATGTAGTTGTTTATTAAAAAAAAGGAAAAAGAAAATGCGAACTCAATTCACGAGATCCACAACGAATATAAGGTAAAAGAATTAGACGGTCGGTAACAGTAAGTCTACTTAACAACTTTAAAAAATCACATTTTCTCGGCCAAATCACCTCAGTATAATCCAGTGTTTCGCAAACCCTAAACCAGGAGAAAAATGTTTTTGGAAAAAAAATCATAATTTGAAAGATTATTGATTCAAAAATAATATGATACAGTACAGTACAAGTATGTCTGGGTCTCTGTGTTTCATTCAAGCTCGGCTCTGCACGCGAGAGAGAGAGAGAGAGAGAGAGAGAGAGAGAGAGAGAGAGAGAGAGAGCGAGAGCGCGCGCGATCATTGTTGTTAGCTTCTGGTGCTAGCGAGCTAGTGGCCGGGTCTCAAACGATTAATGTAAACAATTATTTCCGAGGCACATGTTTATATGATCATCATTATAGTTATAAAAAAATAAGAGAATAAATGAAAAACCGTTATGAAATACTATATGACAGTAAAACAAGAATAGAGTTTAAAAGGGGAGTGATTTGTAAAATATCCATAAAGAAAAAGTAAATCTGCTTACAGTTCTGTTTCATATGGGTGTTGAGAGATGTATCCATAGATCTCGATTGATGCTTTTAACTTAAATATTAAAAAAAAATCTTCCCGGGGGAGCACCTGATTAGGTCCACTCCGCGCTTATAAAAATAGCACTTTACCCCTGCTTACACCTATATGCCGTGAGCTGATTATCGAGCCTTCATTGTAACAGTACAGCGGGTACACTGTGTATTTGCGTGGGGAGTTTTGCAGCAGTAAATTCCACTGTAGCGACCGGTACATTAATGGGAAACCCTAAATGTTTGAGCACCCAGAATGAAACGTCAAGCTACCCCACAGCACCCTCAAAAGAAATCTCTGGTGCCGCCACTGAGCCTGCAACCCCGTTTTGAAGAAATGTGCAGTGCAAAACAGGCTCATTGCAGCCACTAATGCTGCGATAAGACACACAGATATGAAATATACCAAATATCAAATATCAGCATTTTATTTCTTTTCATTTTTTAGCATAGATTGCAAAGTGGCAAAGTATTATAACTTATTGTTCTTGCAAAGGGATTGCACAGTTGTATTATGTGATTTTCTTTTACCACACAGACTTATGGAGCATTGTTTTATTATCACTGTTCTAGCAAAGTCATTCTTTTATTTTTTTGAAAGGAATGCTCACGTTCATATTGATGTATTTTAATAAATGTTAACCTGGCCCATTACGTGACTATTTGTGTTGAGGGGACCCGACTTTTTTTTCTTCTCCAAAGCCTTTGCAGAAAAAGTTTGAGAACCACTGGTATAATCACTCAAATCTCTCATAGCTCGTACGTTTGCAGACACGTTCACCTCTTGAAATGTATGGTCATTATTATTTCCTTCAAACCTTTAAAAACATTTGCATTGATCTGGTTGTTTTTTAAACTGTATTGCTCCCGGTGTTACTTTGCTGCATACAGTAGAATCTGGTGTCTGTTCTAAACTTCACTTTGAGTGTCTTACTGCTTTCAAAAACAAAACAATCTATCAAAACTTTAAAGGTATAGTTCAGATGTTTTGGAATGGGTCAGTGCCTTCCTCAGAC